GGACCCAGCACTGAGCCTTGTTGAATCTCATACAGCTGGCCCTGGCCCAACAATCCAGCCTGTCCAGGTCCCTCTGTAGAGCCTTCCTACCCTCCAGCAGATCGACACTCCACCCAACTTGGTGTCATCTGCAAACTTACTGAGGGTGCACTCAACCCCCTCATCCAGATCATCAGTGAAGGACCAGCCCCAATACTGAGCCCTGGGGAACACCACTCGTGACCGGCCGCCATCTGGATTTGACGCCAATCACCACCACTCTCTGGGCTCAGCCGTCCAGCCAGTTTTTAACCCAGTGCAGAGTGCACTTATCCAAGCTGTGAGCAGCCAGCTTCTCCAGGAGAAAGCTGTGGGAGACAATGTCAAAGGCCTTACTAAAGTCCAAGGAGACAACATCCACAGCCTTGCCGTCATCCACTAAGCGGGTCACCTTGTCATAGAAGGAGACCAGGTTAGTGAAGCAGGAGCTCCCTTCATAAGCCCATGCTGGGTGAGCCTGATCCCAGTCTTACTTCAAGATTTTGTAATAAAACTATCTAACTCAGTTCATATCTGTATTTGGAATTTGTGTTTGTTAAGGGTGGCTTAAATGCATTTACTACTCACCATACAATGACACGATTTTTGGAGTATCATTCGAAGGTCTGTCAAATGTGGTCTGTCGTATTGATTGTAGCATGGTACAATCTATTACTGAAATAAACATGGTAGTAATTTGCATGCTACCAAGTGAACATCTGCATGTAATTCCTTCTACGTAAGTTCAGAGAGGAAGGAGAAAGTACACCTTCATGATCCCTTGCTTTAGGGCCACAGACAGCACCTGGCCACCAAGAGGAGGTTGGTGGTGGTCCCATATATACTCACACTCTGACAGACTGCGGCTAATTATGAGAGTGTTAACTCCATCGGGTGGTTTCTAGTCCATAGCATGTTAACATCGCATTTTTGCAGGTGCTCTGCCTGTCATCTAAGAACAAACATACTCAGAGAGTAATTAGCACTAGTGCACTGTCTAGACTGGAAGGGTGAAATGGGCAGGAATCTGTGGGGCATGTCCTCACTCAGGCACTACGGAGTGTTGTCACAAATGTTTTGTGTGAAGTATTAGAAGGAATGATCCTTAAATCTGTAGATGGCAGCAGAATGGAAGGGACTATGGGCAGTTCTTGAGGCCATGACGGACAAGCGAAAGTGACCCTGGCAAACTGTTGTAAGGGAGAAAAGCACAATTCAACAGGGAAAAATGGGGAATGCTATGCTGGGGTTAAACTAACCAACAATCCAAATTCTTGTTGGAAGGAGACTAACAATAAATCAGACGTGGGCCTTATAATTTAGTGGATCAAAACACAAGATGACATTAAAATATGTTGGATCATATTTGTTACCTCAGACTTGCAAGAAAAACAAAAATGTGTCACCAACAGAAAAGCAGTCGCCATGGTGTGAGATGCAGATTGAATGATTTTGATCTCTTAGGAGCAAGCAGTTTGCACACAATAAAGAAAACTGACTGTGCTTTTGGCCACTTGTTTCTCTTTCTTCAACTGATTACCTGGTTAAACTTCATAGCTATTGTCTCTGACTTGACGTTCAATCCTTGAATGCATGATGCTGTAGGAAACTAATAATTACTGTAACACTTTGGGTTTTGTTTTCCATGCATAAAATTACAGTTTTGCAGACTGCTTATTTTTCCAGGTTCCAGCTTCCTAGTGCAGTTGTGCTGGTAGTGAAGATTCAGTAGCTGACTGTAGGAGGCATGCTGAGGGTGCATTTAGGAAAGCAAGTCATCCTGTGCATGGTCACTCTTTTGAAGCTTCTTTAATAGGAGATATACCCAAACTCTTTGCTTTTTATTTGTAATTTACTAGCCTGGCAATGAGTAGGAACTTGTTTCTAACTAATCCCCTGTTCTCTATTTCCAAAACCCGTTCAACTTCCCTTCATAGGGAGAGGCTTATGAAGCCTCATCAGGTACAGCTATATTTTTGCATTGTGCATCAGGTATCCGAGATGCTTTTTTTTTTTTTAGACTACTGTTTCTGACAGAATCTCTTCCATCTCACTGCCTTTTCTGTCATACCCATGCACATGTATGTACATGCTCTGTGGCATGTTCTCTGTCTATGCATACACTATTAAATTTCTTGTGGGCTTACTGGGTAAATAACTCTTTTCCATCTGCCTTATATGGGAAGAGAATGACACAGCCACTGTTTTGTTTTCCAGAAGTTCAGTAGATTTCACCTTTTAGACAAGGAAATGGTAGAGGAAAGGTGGAAAGGAACATGTGGAAATATAAAATTCACAGGCCTGTGGCCAGATAATCACAGTGGAACCTTTAACTGCTCATAGATTCATCATATAAAAAGATGATACTGTGTGTGAGAGCTGTTTTCAACATTTGTATCTGTCATTTTGACTGATTTTTCACCTTCCATCGATCTGTCAGTCCCTCCAATTTTTGCAATAGATCTGTGGATTTTTTCAAGCAAAATAATCCCTAATAAAATACTTTTTGTTCTTAGTTACCCCTTACAAACTGTAGAGGATTTGTCGTAAATTACATACTGAAAGGCATGATAATGAGAATGGGTGTGCCACCATTTGCAGCACATTTTCATGGTGGGATTTAGTGAGTTTTCACCTACCTGAATGGTCAATCAGATTTGGAACTGAATGGCAATCATGTGCTGAATGAATGGAAAGGCAACATGGACCAAAGTGGCAGCTGATATGCATCCATATCACTCCCATGGCACTGAGACAGTTGGCAGCATCTGAACTTTGGTCCCATGGGTCTTGCACTAGATTTTCAGTGTTTGTATTACCTATTCAACCTGCAGACTGAATGAAGTTGGTATAGCACTGGTCAGGATCATTGCTGTCTGACGCATGGGTGACTTTATCAGTCAGCGTGAAGAGTGTCTCATTTCAGATCATGTCATGATTTCTGTGCTTGTGCAGGCTGTGACCATCTGAAGTGTGACTCAGTGGTTGGCCTTGTCTAACCACAGGCTCTACTTGCAGATGGTTGATCTTTGCTGTAGTGGTAGTCTTGCAAGAACTTAACCTAGCTGTATAATTCAAATAAAAGGAGCCACGTCATGGAGGAAGTAGTGTACAGATCAACTGCTGCTAACCCTTTGCTGAGGTGTGCAATTTCATTTTCTCTTCCAGCAAATATTACGGCATGCCCGTGGAAATGCCACAAAGGTGATATTTCTCATTACGGATGGATATTCCAATGGGGGAGACCCAAGACCCATTGCAGCATCATTGCGTGAATTTGGAGTGGAGATCTTCACCTTCGGGATATGGCAGGGGAACATCCGAGAACTGAATGACATGGCATCCCATCCAAAAGAAGATCACTGTTACCTTCTTCACAGTTTTACTGAGTTTGAAGCTCTGGCACGCAGGGCTCTTCATGAAGGTATTAATTTACTAACCTCAGAAGTCTTCAGAGAGCAGAGGGGTCTGAATAGAAGGATCTCCAGTACTGTCTTGTAATTACATTTCATGGAGTGTTGATTCCTTTTTTTTTTTAAATTTATTTTTCCTCTTACTTTCTGGCAGACATGTTCATTCTTCAGGTGAAAGAATAAATTGTTTGTTTGACTAACTCATCATCAACAAAATGTCAGCCAAATTTTCCTCCTTGGTATATACATACTTATCTCCATTCAACTCTTCATTTTGTCCACAAAGAACTGACTGTGGTCTTGGCCCAGTGTAGCTTTTGCTTGAATAGATGAACCTTGTAGTCAGATACAGCCTTTTCGTTGTCCAAAAGAGGCACCTAGTACAGACCTTAGGAGTAGCCTTAATACCTGTTGGTATTTTACAGAGCAACAAAAGCTAGCTTGTTCAGAACTGATTTAGATCTCTGTGTATAAGGGTAAATACAGTTTGTGTTGATGACCTTATACATTCAATAAAACTGGAAAGACCAAGGGGTAGAAAGAGAGTTTGGACTGTGGTTTTATCCTTTTTTAATCTACCGTATTCTAAAAAAAGTGTTTTTCCTGAAAAATAGAATAAGTTTAGAGTAGCAAGTGAGAACACATGACTAGACCTTCATTTGTAAGCCAGTGCTGCTTGATTGAGGCTTAGAACATGCATCAGACTAGCCATTAGCATTTATTTGTTACAGTTAATTTTTAAAAGCATGCTACTTCAACATAAATAGTGTGCTTTACGGCCATTCTGTTTGTTCCAGGTAAGGTTTAATCGGTCTATGTGAATGTGCCAAAGGAAAGATTTTTTTTTTTCAGTATGACCAACTGGTTATACATGCTGTGACCAAATGCTCTCCTGATGCCAAAGATGGCATCCAACAAAGCCAGGAAAAGCTGTCTCAGCAGCTTCTGTTGGGAGTGAAACTGCATTCTGGCAGTGTTAGACTCAAATGAATGTGAGTGAGAAAATTTGAGGATCTTTGCACCATGGATTTTAGTGAGCCTTTTTCCAGATTAAGAACATAAATTTTTTTTTTTTACATTCTGAGTGTAGCAAGGCTCTGTTTCATGCTGCCATCGCTACTGCTTAGAACTGGAACCTAAGGTTTTTAAGAAACATTTCATTAATGACATAATGTGAGGTGGGGGGACTTTTGTTTGGATTTTTTGTTAATAAATTGATACTATTTCAGACCTGCCCTCTGGCAGCTATATCCAAGAAGATATATCGCATTGTTCATATCTCTGTGAGGCAAATGAAAACTGCTGCGACATCATGGCAAGCTGTAAATGTGGCACTCACACTGGCCAGTTTGAGTGCATCTGTGAAAAAGGATACTATGGGAAGGGACTACAACATGAATGCACAGGTGAGTCTTATGTCTCAGTGCTTGGGTTTGTATGCCCGGAACACATGGCTAATCTAGTTGAGAGTGAGAAGTTCTGTTTGGGATTATGGTTATGAACCTGGATCAAAATGCATTTGCCACTGTTGGAAAACTCTCTGGCTGAAAACATAGAATAGGTCTAGTGGTCAAACTCACCTTATACCTTGTCTCCAGCAGTAGCCCAAAGAGATGCACAGGAAAGAGGTAAGGATAGGGCCAGCGTTCTGACACAATAGAACTTCCGTAAAGCACAGCTCACCAACAATTTGTGACTAGAGTTTACCAAGTCTGAGGTAACGTCTTTTGCACTCAAGTGCTCTTAGTAAATTTTTCCTTCATAAATTTTGCTGTTTGGAGATTTTTTCACTTTTTGAACTTCCATGAACTTTCCTGTTTGGCAAGGGGCTGTCTGTGTGGATCTTTGCAGGATAATCCTTGGTGAAACTTACAGTCAATTAAATGTTCTTTAATTCTACGTGTTGACTGACTTGCAGTTACTAAAGAGGAAGGAGGCATTTGGGTCACTAAACAGAAACTTCTCATCACATTTTGCTAAGATTGTTGTTTTTACTGCTTTTTGAACAAGTCCTTTTACTAGTATGCATTCAAAGTCTACAGTTGAAATAACAACAATTTACAGTTCTTTATTGTCAGAGAAGGTTTGCAGGTTTTATCCAACTCTATTGATTTTTCTAGGACAAAAGTTCCAAAATCGTCAGAGCGTATTTGAACTCTGTTATATTCGTTTTGTGAGCTGGACAAAAGGAGTACTTATAATCAAATATTTCTCAACTAGAAACAAAATACAATATTTATATTGATATTGTTTGTATTCGCATATTCTCACTTACATTCTGCATATCAGAGTTCTCCTGAGGTGTTTCCTCACGAGATGGGAACTAAGTGTGGTGGATACATGGATCTTGGTTGTTTATGAGGGCCGTGTTGCTTTTTTAAATGTGATTTTCATTATGTGTAGAGACTCTCTTGATGTAACTTGTAAGAGTTGGTAGTTCTGTTCAGAGACAAGACTCAGGCAGGTTTGTGACTAGAAGCTAAAGATTTCCTTCAGGGGAAGGTTTAGTGGAGGCTGTATCGTCTGTATGCCTGCATGAGGAGGATTATAAAGATACACTGAGGGATCCAGACTACACATAAGCACATGGTGAGGGAAAGGTGTTGGCTATCACCAGTGCAAGAACGGACTAAGATACCCCAGTGGTTGTGTTGGGAAGTTGATCAGTTGCATTATACTGTCTGCCAGTTATCACCTTGTAATTCACCTTGTGCCTCTGGAGGATCTTTCCTTTGTTCTGTATTAAGAGAAGTAGGTATGCAGGAATTCATTGGGTTTTAAGTGCAACATGAGTACTTAGAACGTAGTTAGAGTCAACATCAGCACTGGCACATTGGATCAGAGTCCTATTTTAAATAAGTGGGTGCAGCTTCCTTGTGTGCTCAATTAGCTCTAAGCGAAGATATACCGTTCCAGTATGCTTATTTTCAGTTGTAATTCTAATTTGTTCCAGACAAAATCAGATTTTCATCTTAATTTTTTCTTTTGTAATTCAAGTCAATTTCCTCCACGTCGAGTGCCCTAGTAACCTATTGAAGAAAATAAATGCAGCATTTCTGCCTCTGTCAATAGCTTGTATCATTAAATATTGTTTTGAGCTAGTCCTAAAAATAGCGGGCCTATCATTTTAGAGTTACCCTTTCTACATAAAGGATCTTTTGATGGGGTGAGTATACCTTTTGAGTGCCACCAGAAATTATAAAAGTCTGGTTTCTTTAAATGGGCAGTTTGCAGCTACAGAGGAAAATTTCATTTTGACATCATCAACAGGTGCTTCTTAAATAAGTTTTTAAAAGGGGTTGGTGTTAGAAACACTGCAAATGAGCTGATGATTGCAGCCATCTGCTGTATATGTGAAGATAACTGAAGATGCATACATATATTTTAGGGAGAACTTGACCTGAGTAACTCAAGCCTGTTCTTTAAAATGTCTGCTCTGCTCAACTCTTTAAGACAGACAGAAACAAAAGGCAACATGTGTTCTTTAAAGGAAAACCAGCATATTTTGAAATCTTTTATTCTGAAAAGGATTCCAACCTTTTTTTTTAACGTTTCCCAGCTGAGCATAGCTGTGGATTTGTAACGCATAAGGAATCTTAAGAATGCATCTTAACTTTTCTTCACTGTATAATGTGCAGGAGGACTTTTGGCAAGTTTACAGTGACAGGACGTACATTTTAATTGGACTACTTTTAGCTTTTGATTGGTTAAACTTGCAGATACTCTATTAGCCTATGTTTACTTAATACAGTAAGGCTTTTTTTTTAAAAAGTTTTCATTAAGACGGGAGATTGTTCTGTGACGTATCTGTTCTTTTTCCTATTTCAGTTATTTTCTGTGGTAATTTTCTGTACGCTGTCGTGCTTACGCATTATACCACCTTACTGTTGTTTATGGTTTTAAATGTGAGGCATCAGAATAACTATGTAAAAATCGTAACAGTTCTTCACTTTCCTAATTACCTGAAAACACTCTCTAGAAAGCTTCCATAAAATAAAATAGGAGCCACATGCTTTGTGCTGAAAAGCAGAAATTGGCTTCACTGTCCCCCTCCTGTTCTTTGTAATATTGTTGATGATGTGCCACAGAAAGAAGAACAGACTGACTGTTCTCTACTTTATAAAGCAAACCAAACAAAAGCTTCTTGGCCCACACTAGGTGCCTCATGCAGCCAGAGACATCTGTGACAATTGTGACAAAGGAAGGGAGAAAGAGGAAGAACAGAGGCGGTATCATAACCAGTCCCAAGTATTGTAGAGTACATAAACACTTCCTCTTCAGTAACGCTTCACTTTTTTTTCTCCTTCCTTTCCTTGATTACAAATACTGAGTTTCAAACTAGAGACAACCAAACAAAAAAACAGAGGTCAGCAAAAATAAATCTGTGATTTCCACTATCTAAGACTGTGTCTTCCATTCCAGCAGTAAAAAGGTGGGCTGTTCAAGTCAACTGCTTGTTCCATGGAAAAGTAAAACAAATGTCCACATCTCCATTTGTATCTTCTTCTCTGTCTTAGGAAGTTAGGAAATATGTCTTTAATATGGCCTTTTCACACTTATTTTTTTTCAGCAAGACTCTCCAGAGAAAGTTCTTTTTTAAGTGGGCTCTTGGGCTGAATGACCTTTTAGATTCATGACAATGCAACTAAAGGATGATACCCATCATGTTCATCTCATCAGTTACCTTCTAAGAAGAACCACTGTTATTGGGGAGGTCGGGAAACTGTTGTCTTACAACCAGTAGTTTCTTTAATCTAACATGTAGACCCCATTTTATGTAGCACAAGGTATCCATGAAGATGATATGCAGCTGGCAGGGCACAACTAGTAAATTAAATTAGTCTATGCTAGTTATTCCTTCTTTTGTTTTATTTTTGGTTCACTGCTTGGGTATAATTCTTGAAGTGTAGAATTTCACCATATGTGTAAGTATTCAATAGGTTGCCTAGACTTTGATTTAGGAGCATGCAGCATATCAGTTAGCATCTGCACAGCCATTAGGGCAACAGTTTTGCCTTACAAAACAGCACATGGATTAGGTCTGTAAAGAGCCGTTCCAATGAAACCTGAAATCATGTGAAAACTTCGACTTTTTTTAAAAAATTTTAATTCAGAACTCATTCACTGAAAAGACTTTAAACTTTGAGGACCTGTAGGTCCAGCAAGGCAGGGGAGATTTGCATTTTGTGGTTTGGATTTTGGACCCAATTTTCAGCTGAGCATTTTTTTCCATGAGATTTTCAGGACTGTTCCAATCGAGAATGCAAAACAAAACCTGATGTTCATTAATTGGATTGCTTTCTAGTTAGAAAAAAAAAATGTGTTTAATATATTACTAGCAGTTCTTTCCTTAGTCAGACAGGAAGAACTTTAATTCCAGTGGTGATTCCAATGGCCTAGTCAAAGAAAGCTAGACATCTCTTCTGCCACGCTGTGTCCTTCCTCCCTTCCTTTTGATAGGAGCTTCTACCCCCCTGGAAGCTGGGTCACCCTTTCTCAATATTCATTTTCGTGAGGTGTTTCTTTAGCTACCCTGTAGGAGTTACTGGCTTAATGAAGCTTTGCCAACCATCTTGAATGTGTCATACTGTCTGTGGAAATTTTCACTAAGTTTACAAGATGCCTCCAAACCCCAAGGCATCCAGAGTTTGTTAACACACATTTCATAACATACACTATACTCTTAAGCGGGTGCCTGTCATGAATCTGGAGGAGAACCACTAGCAGGACTCTGAGATTCCGCTAGTAATTGACAGACAGGGAGGGAAAAGAGAGCAGGAAAGGGAGTGTGAGAAAGACAGTGTACAAAATGTCTCTAGCCACAGTAAAATCTCAGGCTAAATTCGCCTGTTGAATCTGGAGGTTCGAATTAGTTTACAGAACTGCAGATTTTCAAGCTCTTGGAATGTAGTTTCTTGTTGTCTCACAAGGCAGTGCCATGTCATGCTTTCATCTATTGAATCTGCATCTTAAAAGTGGACAGGAGTTTGTTTTGGTTCCTCTTCTCTCCTTTGTTTTTAATTTCTAAATCAGAAAAATACTCTTCAGTTCTAGCTTAGCTCTCACTAAAAGAAGCCTTCTCCTGAGACCTGCAGCCATTGAAAACGGGCAAATTGAAAAAGGAGCATCTCCTTGAGGAAAGTGTCAAATGGCTGCTAATGTGTTATCTTGTGCCACATAAACCTGCAGATCTTGATAACCAAAAAGAAGAAAGCAAATAAAAATTTTCAACAAGATGGGTTGGAAAAACTTGGATTACAGCTGGGCAAGGAAGTTGGGATGTATGTGCTTAATGAAGCATTAATTAAAGCTTGCAAAACCTGAGCAGTTTGGAGAGCCTTGGGGTTGGACTCATCTACTGTAGAGACAGAAAAGCTTGAGTGGAGAGTCCTTGGACTGTGTACAA